GGCATCTTAAGCGAACGAATACATTTTCCAGATAAGAAATCCCATTCGTCAACTTGATATAATTTAGAGAATTAATTTAGATACTAATTATAAACGTAACATAAATATATATTTATATATCTCACCGGTGCCATTTCGTCGACCACAATAAATTTTCGATCCATCTGCACTCCAGCATGCCTAAATTTTTTTTTAAAAAAAGAAATTTTTTTTAGATTATTATTATATTTATGAACTTTGATAATTATAACTGCCCGGCACCATAATCAAGTCACGTGATAATATAATTAATGCCACAATAAGGAATTATATAAAATGTGATCCAAAATGAGTCTTGATACTCGAGTTTCTAATACCTACCCGTGTTACATGATTTATTGGCTTATCCTAAACCTTAACCCACTAAACCCTAACCTCATTCAACAGGTAAAACCTTTACCTAACCTAACAAACAACACTTAGCTCAACTTCACCAAATAAAAAGTAACGTGAAACGAAATTTTTTTTTTATATTTTAAAGTTAAGGTCATGTGACTTATTGGCGGCCAAGTAAAAAAAGGAAAGAAATTAAATCAAATTACTATAAATTGCATACCGATAAACACCATGGAGGAGTTCTCTCAGGAGGAGCCATTTTTCTCGGTATCGAATTTTTTGCTCTTTTATCCCATACAAAACAATTCCCATCAATACTAGTGGTTAGTAATACATCGTTAGACTGCGTCAACATATCTTCTGGTGCATCGAAAAGTGGATCAAATGATGCGGGAGAACTTTGCCCTGATGTACAAGAAGATGTGGTGGTAGCTGGGCGAAATGATATGGAACTAATTTGCGAACTATGACCTGCAAAATCGCGTACAACTTGACCAGTATTAAGATCCCAATGCTATAGAGGATCCAAGGTATTTCAAAGATGTAAGAAATTTATTTATTAAATAAAATAATGAAATAAAGTGAAATAAAATAATCAAGAATGATCTCACTTACCAGTACCGATTTATCCCAAGAACCGCTCACGCATCCAGTTTCATCTTGTGTTATTTTTAATACTGAAACCGGAGCCTTATGTTGACGTAAAACGTGATGACATTTCCCTTCTTCATGTCTGACAGTGAATAAATTAATAGCGCCGCTCTGGATGCACACGTGTTATTTAAACTTTAATGACATAAACGAAGAAAGTAAAATATCCGTGACGAATTCAAACTGATTTATTGGGTGAATAATGCCATCACTATATGCTATATGTGAACCTCGCATAATGAATAAACCTACCTCCATTCCAGTTAAAAGCCAAACCGCTTCAGATTGAACCGCCAAACTGTATACTGGCGACATTTTAAGTTCTTGAACTGGAGGTTCGGGCACAATGATTGGAGTTGCACCTTCTTCTAAAGGTCCATTTGTTTTTTCTAATGATGATCGAAAAAGATTTATATATATATATTTATTCATTAATAAATACAAAAATAAATAAATTCCGCGACTTACCAGGTTTAGGGATCGCAGATGCTAAGGGTTGCTCTTCGTTCTCCCAGTATGAAACGATGACACCTGCCTATTCTTATATATGAAAAATGAGTAAAATTTACATAAAAGTGGTTGATCATTTTATAATAGGATAATAATTACCTATCGCACCTTTTGAACGGATTCCACTTGGGCATGCTTTTGATTTTGCGTTAATAACGTTTTACCTCCCATTGAAGCAAAAAAGTCGTATTTCCTTACAAAACCATCATCACCGCCTGTAAATATCCAACGCATATTTCTTGTCGCGTCAAGTGCGTAAATTTGACATGCTTGTATAGCCGCTACCTAACGTTTAGAAATGTATTGAGTTTGACAACCAGATAACAAAAAGATATTAAATAATAAACTTACATAAGGTACGATATCATAGGTTTTGCAGTCATCGGCAAATTGCTGAAGTGTGCGATTCGGTTGGGTAGCAAGTGTTTGTGCGGAGGTTGAATTTGGAAAATTAAAGGGAGCAACGTCATCCAAGTCTAAATTATCTATATTTAAATAACAAGTATATTTTAAATTATAAAAACGCGTCAGTAATTTAAGAGAAATAAGAACAATTTTTAGAAAAATAAAAGCAATTAGGTACCGTCAGAGTATGGAGAACGATCGGGTGCTTCAGCGTCTGAACTTTGTTGAGATTCTCTAGAATCAATATCATCTTCACTATCATTCTCCATTTTTTTCCGTTATTATTTCTTTTTAAAAACGTGAAGTTTCTTTAACTTCGTTGCGAGAAATTTGGAAATGTATTGCTATATTGGGAGTTTGGATCTATGCACGGACCATGCATAATTGCTGGAACATTTTTTTGATAATCGATTCTGCGCCACTAGTTGTACAGTTCAAGAGTGATGTTACAACTATTAATCGTATCAGTATTTTGTGAAATCTTCTGTCATGAACATAAATATAAGTTGGTCCGACATTATAAATTATTTTTATATTAGAAATTGAATAAATACTGTTTTTGTAATCAAATCTATAGGAAATCTATATTATTTTTTTATTTTTTTTCTTACAAGTGAAATTTGCGGAATATTTTTGTGTTTTAGAGTTTTTCGCGTCATGTAACTTTTTTTATTTTTTAATGAAAGGTTGAACATATTAAGCGAATGATTTATCAGAATTAAAAAATCGTGGATACTTTTTTTTTTCCCATCAATGCCCATTTTGGAATAGATATTCGATGATCTTATCTTTCATAAGAATTCTGTGTATCGAACTGGATCATGCCACTATTTTTCTTTTTTTTATTTCAAAGAATCTTAAATAACATCCATTAGTTTCTCCATTTGTATTATTATTAGCTTTACTGCTTTTCATTTCTAACACAAATAGAGGTAATTTTTTCGGGATTAGAAATAAGTCTCCGAAAGTATAAAAGTATCAATTTTCGGTTCAAAGTCTCGACCGTTTCTCGTCGAGGAAAATATAAATAAATAAAAAGTATAACCTTTCTTAAAAAGCAATACTTTCAACAATATTCTGTACATTTTAAAGTGCCACTTTGAAATAATTTAGCTGATATCAATTGAGGTTTTTATTTTTATTGTTCCGCAGATTTTTAAAACCAATATTAAAAAAAAAAATGCATTTCCCTTTAAGGACGACGCGTTTTGTGTCAAGATTACCTTCAACGTTCTCAATTATAAAATCATCTATTAAAATTAACAATTCAAAGTATTCTACTAAAACCTTATTGGGGAATAATGACAGATTTTCCAAGAAATCTTCATTAAATCATGGATTGACCGCTTCAGTGACCGCATTCTTTCTTTTATGCGGTGGATTTCATTTTTATTACAATAATGAAAGTTTCCAAGTATGGTATTTTTTTTTTTTTTTCCTTTGATTGCAAGATTTAATGTTGGAATTAAAAAAAAAAAATGATTATTCCTTGTATTGATTGTTTAGCTTACCAGAAAAGTGGAATGCAACGCTTCGGTAACTTTTTATAAAATGATCATGTTTTAGGATAGATAATTCAATTGAATTAATTTTTTTTTTTTTTTAGAGTATCGATATCAATGATAAGAACATACCTATACGAGATAGAATGGAAGAATATGTAAAAATTTTACAACGTCGTATCATTAAAGAAATTGAATCGGTTGATGGTAATAAATTCAAAATTGATCGTTGGGAAAGAGCTCAAGGTGGGGAAGGAATTTCTTGTATCTTGCAAGATGGAAAAGTTTTTGAAAAAGCTGGTGTAAATATTTCAATCGTTCATGGGAATTTGCCTGAACCAGCAATACAACAAATGAGATCTCGTTATAAAGATCTTGATCCTTCAAATGGACCTTATCCATTTTTCGTAGCAGGAATTTCAATCGTTATGCATCCACATAATCCTTATGCACCAACCGTACATTTAAATTATAGATATTTTGAGATCAACAATGTAAATGGAACTAAATTATGGTGGTTCGGGGGTGGATCCGATCTAACGCCTTCTTATCTTTTCGAGGAGGATGCAATACACTTTCATAAAACATTAAAGGATGCATGTGATAAACATGATCCCTCATTTTATCCTGAATTCAAGAAATGGTGTGATGAATACTTTTATTTAAAACATCGTAATGAATCGCGTGGGATTGGTGGTATATTCTTTGATGATATAGATAGAAAACCTCAAGAAGAAATATTTGCTTTTGTAAAGCAATGTGGTGATGCTTTTCTCCCTTCTTATATCCCGATCATTCAAAAGAGAAAAGATATGAAATATGGTGATGTGGAAAAACATTGGCAACAATTACGAAGAGGAAGATACGTTGAATTTAATCTTATATGGGATCGTGGTACAAAGTGGGGGTTACAAACTCCTGGTGCAAGGATCGAAAGTATATTTATGTCATTACCTCTAACTGCAAGATGGGAATATATGCACATGCCCGAAAAAAATAGTCGTGAAGAAAATTTGATTGAAGTGTTGAAAAATCCGCGTAATTGGATAGCATAAAAAAATACATACATACATACATACACATACTCCTCCTTCACTAATATTAATTTTAAAGATTTTGGTTCTTTTTAAATATAACATGAACTTTTAACGATGATAATGCAAATAAAAATATTTTAATTGCTAGCAAATTTATCGAACTGCGAAATCTTCCATGTAAATTTTAAATCAAAATAATTGTTCGTCCCACACTATTTATCTAATTTACTAAAATGTCTTTAATTTCTTAAATTATTGGTAATCTATAAAAAATTCTACAATAAAAAAAAAACTCAATACCGATTCAATAATAAAAAAATTGTAAATAAATAAATAAACGAGTAATAATAGTAATAATAGTAATAATAATAATAAACTTGTAAATTAGCAAATCAATAATCAATCAATCAATCAATCAATCAATCAATCAATCAATCAATCAACACAGAATAGTCGTTTTATGATACAATAATTAAAGAAAAATAAAATAAAATAAAATAAAATGGCATATAAATTTTCATTATGCCCAGACTGGTATACCGGACACAACTTCTTTAGGTTTAATTATTTGTCCAATTAAAGCTTGAGATATCAACTCATGTTCCTCTTGAATATGCTGTTTCTTGTTACCGGTTGCAGGAGATGCTGAAGGTAATCGAGTAGCAGGCTTAGCAGCTTTACCTAAATAAAAATACAATTTTAAATTAATTAATCGTTTTCAACAAATCAACAAAGAAGAGTAATTGACTTAGTACCCTCATGAGTTTTTGAATGATTCATTAAAGTTCGAATTCTTGGTGCAACATATGTCCATGAACCTGAATTTAATGGTTCTTCCTGTGCCCATATAAGTTGAGCATTTGGATATTTGTCAACATGTTCAGATAATAAATCGTACGGGAAAGGACATATTTGTTCTAGTCTAGAAATAACAACGTGACTCATTTTATTTTGATCACGAGCTTTGAGAAGGGCATAGTAAACTTGTCCGGAACATAAAACGTGTCGTGTTATCTTTTCAGGTGATTCTAACGTTTCTGGGTGTGGATCGGGTATAAATCGTTTAAAGACTTGATCTCCAGTCATTTCGATAAGAGAAGAGCGTGCCATTGGATGACGAAGAAGACTCTTGGACGTAAAAACAATAAGCTAAATTTCATAATTATAAATTTTCGTTAAGAGATATAGATGAGGTAATAAATTATTAAATTATATTGGAAAAACTTACTGGCTTTCTAAAGTCACGATGAATTTGTCTTCTCAAAACATGAAAATAATTTGCAGGAGTTGTAGCGTATACTACTTGCATGTTACAATCCTGATGTTGGCGTGACATTTTTTCTGGAGAAGGATAAACGTATGGATGGTCATCACATAATTGAAGGAAACGTTCAAGACGTCCGCTGGAATGTTCAGGACCTTGTCCGTCATACCCATGTGGTAATAAAACAACCAACCCAGTACGCTGCAACCATTTCTTTTCACCAGCAGCGATAAATTGGTCAATTATACATTGAGAGTTATTTACAAAATCCCCAAATTGAGCTTCCCATAAAATAAGAGAATTAGGATTGACTAGAGAATATCCAAGTTCAAATCCAAGGGTTCCAAATTCAGAAAGTGAAGAATTACAAACGGAAAATGGAGCCTGACCAGGTCTTAAATCATTTAATGGTACATACTGTGTCTCATTTACTTGATCATGAAGTACTGCGTGACGTTGTGAAAAGGTCCCACGTTCAACATCTTGGCCTGATAAACGAACATGTTTTCCTTCAAGAAGTAATGAACCAAATGCAAGACCCTCAGCAGTAGGCCAATCAATTCCTTGTCCTCCATTGACAGCCTTAGAACGGGTTTTAAGGATTCTAGCTAAACCTGGATGTACGTTAAAACCTTTTGGACATGAACTGATAACTTCACCAACGTGTTGAAGTAATTCATCAGATGCACCAGTTGGATATGCAGGTGTAATCTCTTCGGCAAGCTCTTTGGGTGATTTGAAACCTTTAACAAAACAATTATTATTTGAAATCTTAGGATTATCTCATATCAAATGATTAATTTCAAATAAAGAAAATAATTATAATTATACCATTCCAAGAACTGGATAACCATTCACGACTTGTAGGTTTATAATCCTTGCTTTTATGATAACTTTCTTCCAAAGTATCCCAAACCCATTTTTTATGCTTCTGAATATCTTCCATAGTGAATGTATCATCTTTCAATAACTTTTGAACATATTTATCAAGGATTGGTGTTTGCTTAGCTATTTGTTGATACATTCTAGGCTGTGTGAAACTAGGTTGATCAACTTCGTTATGACCATATTTACGATAGCAAACAATATCGATAACGACATCCTTTTTAAATGTTTGTCTCCATTCAGCGGCCAATTGACACACAAAATTTACTGCCTCAGCATCATCACCATTAACGTGGAAGATGGGTGCATTTACTACCTTTGCAATATCCGAGCAATACGGAGTTGAACGAGCAAATCGAGGATCTGTAGTGAAACCAATTTGATTATTGACGACTATATGAACGGTGCCACCCGTTGTATAATTTGGCAAATCGTGAAAGCCCATTGTTTCATATACAACTCCTTGAGCCGCAAAAGCAGCATCTCCATGTAATAATAAAGCCATTGAACGATGACGTTCTTTTTCATCATTCATATAATGTTGAAGTGCACGAGTCTTGCCAAGTACCACGGGATCGACCGCTTCTAAATGCGATGGATTAGCAGCTAAGGAAAGGTGTACACGTTTGCCAGAGGGAGTGGGTCGATCGTAATTCATACCCAAATGGTATTTCACATCACCAGACCCTTCATCTGATGGTTCGACTGAACCGCTGAATTCACAAAAAATAGATTCATTTGGTTTACGAACCACATTACTTAACACATTAAGACGTCCACGATGTGCCATTCCTAGTACAATTGATTCTATACCAAGATCAACCGATCGGTCAATCTAACGAAGAATAGTAAATAAATTATTTTATTCTATAAAAAAATATAAAAAGCACATTATTTGCTTGAATTATATCTTACTAAAGCTTTCATTCCCGGAATCAAACTCTCACAACCTTCCAAACCGAATCTCTTTTCATTTGGATATTTTGTGGCAATAAATCGTTCAAATGAATCGGACCATATTAATCGATCTAAAATCATGCGTTTTTCTGCAATCGTGTAATCATATGGCTTTGGAATTTCTACTCTATTTCGAATCCAATCACATTGTACTCGATCGGGAATATGAATGTATTCGATACCGATAGTACCGCCTATGTAAAGAATTTTTTTTAAAAAAAAGAATTAATTCAGAAATTAATCGAAAAAATCTTAGTTACATGATATGATCTACGTCTTTTAAATTGTCTACACCCAAATTAAAGTTATCATCAAATTTACTTACTATATATCTTCTTACATATATCCACAATTTCTCGAAGTGTCTTTTTTTTTCCAGTCTCAGCAAACGCAGGCAAGATACCAGGACCGAGTGTAAATTCTCTATCCAAATCTTTTTCAGAAAACCCATAATGTTTCGGATCAAGTTCTTTTGGAACTGAACCGTCTAAATCTGGATTTAAAATTCCTAAAGGATCCAACTTTGCAATATGATGCCCACGAACTTGAAATGCCCTAACTAATAATTGGACTTTCATATGGTCAGTTACATCATATGAACCAGCTTCTGTTGATATTGAGGTGACCGATCCAGTCAAAGGAACGATTGTTGGTGGAGGTTGGTAGGCTACTCTCGGATTTATGCCAGACTGTATATTCTTAAAATACACCTGCCATGACAAATGAACTGAAGTAGGATCTTTTAGCCATGCTTCATACATTTCTTCAATGTAAGTTGCCGTATTGCCTTGAAGAAAGACATCGTTTGGAGAAACTGAAGGTTGAGGGTATATAGAATTTACAGCAGTAACTTTATTACGAATAGCACCAAGGGTAGAAACAACTGGAAAGCGTAATTTTATGAAGGAAGCAGCTCGAAGCTTTACTGCTTTTGACCTTAAAAGAGAATGGGTAGGTCTTAATGCACGAGACCAAATTGCTGAGGACATTTTTGACAAGCAAAAAAACTGAAAAAGTATTTGGATTGATTATAATAAATAATTTATACGATAAAATTTTTAGATTCTCATTATGTGACACCCGGATCTTTTCGGAGAATAATAAAAAAAACTGGTTCGAGTTTGTTAAATTGCCACCTAAGTGATCTAACCTCAGATAAACCTCAAGACCATCTATCTATTAATAAAAAACCTTATAAATCGTGCATAATTTTTAATTTTATCAAAATCTTGGTCCTTAATGAACTAAACTCACATGACTGGTTGCCGAAAAAATAATATCAGGTCATGTGACTACGATTATATAATACTTTAAAGTGTTATATAAATATTATCTTTTGATTAGAAAATATTGTAATTCAGTTGAATTAAAATATGATTATCCTTGCAAGTGAGAACAGAAGCAATTTTTGTATTTAAACTGTTTCATTTATAGATTACTTTCCAATTCTTCCCATTCTGATGTACTTAAGGCAACTTCTCCATACTTTTTCTTAATTTCAGGAAGAATTCTCCTTAATTCATTCATTTCATCCTCTGAAAGTGATTTAGAAGAATTTTGAAGTTGGGTAAGTAATGTACGTAGTATCTAAAAAATAATGAAAAAAGGATCCATTAAAATTGGTTTGAAAGAATTGATCTGATTGTTTTATAAATTATTACCTTATCAGCTAAATCTTCATCATCATCTCCATAAATTCCCAACAGTTTAATCATTTGCATAGCCAATCCTTTTTCCTCTATTCTGGTGGTCACTGTAGTTGCATCTTGGAGAAGCAACGTATTAAATAAAAATACCACTTTACGAAGAATGGAAAGATCTATGAAGAAACCTAGTTAAACATTTTATCCTATGAATCACTTGGATGATAATATTTACATACCATTAGATGTTTGCAATATAGATAGTAATATTTCATATCCCCCCTCCTTTTCAAACTGTTCTAATCCAGGTGAATAATGTTTGATAGCTCCTATAAATAAAAAATCTTATTAATTAGTCAAATTTTTTAAGAGTGGTAAAAAAAAATTAAAAATTCACCGGATATAGCATATATAGCTTTGCTTCTAACTTCCATATCTTCATCTGGATTATTTAACAAGTTCAATATAAGTTTTATACCTCCTTTCTCTGCAAACTAAAAAAAATTCAATACTATGAATATTACTTAAGATATTTATTAAAAAATTGGTTTATTAAACTTACGGCCTTTTGTGCTTTAGGATTATTTTGTACGGCAGTTCCGCATACCCATACAGCATGTAATCGAAGCGATTTCTCAGGAAATGACAGAAACGATAAAATTTTTGGCCATAAATTCATATTTTCAACGTCTAGGGTATTAATGATATTTAATTATAAGCAAATATGTGGGATATTTTATTCATCTTAGTACTAACCGTTAGCATTATCTATCTGCTCCACTAGCTCCATAATTAAATAATAAGAAAAAAAATAAAAATCATAAGTATATTTGCTACTTAAATAAAAGGTTAAAGAACTTATAAGATATACCATTTCCAGGTTGTCAAATGCAATTTCTCTATTCTCCAAAGTATCATTAGTATTGGATATAACTTCAATAGCCTCTGCATAAAACAAAAGTGAAGAAATTAAAAACAAATATTTATTATGTCAATTGTTTTATTATTATAATACCTCGAATTCGAACACCGTCACTTTTTCCCAGAATTACATCAATAATTTCAGAACCCTAAAAATAAAATGTCGCGCGAATTAATAAAAGAAATAAAAATAAAAATAAAATCGAATCCGGCAAAAAATTTTACTATTTTTCTCCTTTCCGGGTCATCCTGAGGCGGAGGTTGTGGGATTTTATTTGAATCACTATTTTCAACTGACCACTTTAGAAGTTTTTCCATTTTAAAGACGAAAATATTTTGTTTGGAAAATCCCTACTCAACTTTAAATTTAAGGTTTGTAAAACTTCCATTTGAGATTTCCAGTTATGATTGGATAAAGTTATATTTAATTCCGATTGGCAGATTAATAAAACTTCACATGATTTATACAAGAAGTAAACCTTGTGGATTACTTTGAGTTGTATAATCATGATTAACATGAGATTAAGTTTAATCTTAAGCACGTATTTTGTGAAGGCTCCACGATAAGCAAAGCCTCTATAGCTATTTTTAAATTATTTATTCATGAAAAATACATTTATTAAATATTTATATATATTCTAATGTTTTCTTAAAGAATTTAGAAAACGAGGAGTAAGTGATTTCATGGATTTTGCAAAAATTCAAAAAAAAATAAGTTACACAATATAAATAAATGGAATTTTAAAAAAATTAATTAAGATCGGCAAGATTCAAATAACTACATAACGCGACTAATTAATATAGTCTTTCAGATTACTTATATGTAAAAAACTGTAAAATATTTAACCAGTGTAAAAACCCAACAAAAAAGTTGCAGGATGAATTGAGAAGAGTTTTAGCGTTTAATTTGGTGAAAAATTATGTTGAGCGCTCAAAAAAGTTTTCAAATTATGGAACAAGTGAACGAATAATTATGAAAGAATATACATATTATAGTACCATATTGAGGAAGTAGTTATACCTACGATAAGAATATAGGAAAAGAAAACCTCTCACTTGGAGCAAATTAAACGATTCATGGTAAGAAATGTTTTAATATAACTTCATGTAATTTTTACGAAACTTTAGGTCAATAGTAACGATTCAACCCCCCCCCCCCCCCCCCCATAAGGGGCAGTTCGTTATATGTTAGGTATAGTATGATCAACATGCGACATATTTATAAAAGGATCAAGAAAGCGTTGTAGTTATTCACATTTAAAGTTGTAGAGCATATTTTGTCATTACCGAATTATAATTAAGTGCGTGTTTTGTTTTTGTTTTCGAATAAAACATCATTATTTCGCGATTGTTTAGGATCAATGAGGATTTTTTGTGTATATATATAGGTATGTAAAAAAAAAAAATAAACCATACTATTAATTTTAATTGAACGCAACTCTAAAATTATTTTAATCATGAACAATTCTATTACTTCTTCTGTCGCCAAAGGAAACGAGTTTGAAGCCAAAGTTTTTTGGGTATTTAAAAGTATGAATTTTGACTGTCAAAGATCCAGGTGAGACTCGTGTTTCATTAAGTGATTGTTTAGTCGTTATGCATCTGAAGTTACGCTGCCACTAGGATATAGATGGGCAGAGAACTGGAAGCGCATCGTGGCCACAGAGTAAGGTTATTAGGGCCAAGTAATCGGACTTGTGAACGTCCTTCTCTGTTTTATTTTATATCCGAAAGCTTGAACGTTGGAACTCCGTAGTTGTGGTGAATAGGATGCATGGATTATAAATGACCGTACTTGGCTCCAGAGCATTTACCTTGACGATGATGATGCATTCGCTTATAGAATTTTTTTTGATGTTTATCATGTAGGATGTCGGATGGTGATGGCGGTGTGGATATTTGGGGAAATTACATGCAGTGTTTGATCCTTGTTCAATGTAAGAATTATTCGAATAAAAAAGTTGAAGTTGGTGAAGTTCGCGACTTTGAGGGAGTTTTGTCGAGATATCCAAGGGACACAACAATTGGGATTTTCATAACATCTATCAGAGATGGTTATTCTGGTCGTGCCGTAGAAAGAATGCAATCATCAGAATATAACGAATATATTTGATATGCGTCAAGACGTTCCCAAGTATGCAATGAAGAAATCGAAAGATAGTGTTATAGAAACAAGATTTAATTCTATAGAAGAAAAGATTAGATCATCTGCGAGAAAAACAAAGGAGTATCAAAGTAGAGTTAAAGCTAATCAAAATAGAATAGAAGGAAACCAAATCAAAATCATAAAACGATTAAAATAATTAATAAGAATATAATGATAAATAAAACATTTAACAATTTTATATCAATAAAATCTTTTTCTCTATAATTACGAATTTGAAAATATCATGTTGTGATCTACAAAGTTTTACGGTATCTTTTGTCAAAATATTGTAATTTATTTTTTGTTCACCATCATCAACTGTCTGTTAATGGAAGTCTCAATTTCGCGTAAGAAACTAAATCAGGAATCTCAGAAAATGCAGATTCTCTTGACAGATCCTAGTCATGCAATTATTCTTGTTCGATGTAATTTTTGAACTTATCCCAAGATATGAATCAGCAAAACTGGCTTTGCCAAAGAAAGACGCAATTTATGTCCAGAGTAGTACAGAATGATGATTGATCCACGCTAATGATGCTAAATAAGGAACTCGGAAATCATACCTTATATTTGCGTTAGTCACTTTTGGCTATAAATGGTTTATGCCGACAAGATGATAAATCGATGGGATGAGATTTTTGAGGAATGAGAGGAAAGTGAGGAGGTATAGGTGAAGGTAGGAGTCTTTTGAAGTAAATAATGTTCGATTGATTTAACCCATTTTGGCGCAGCATCAAGAAGTATACGTTGAAATTGTTGAATGTAAATAAAAACTTTCCACAACTTGATATTAGTTTTCTATGAACATAAGATTTCTATTCATTAAATCATTCTTAATTTGTCGATAAAGTCTATTAGAAATAGAATTAAGAATGGGCGTGTTTCCTTCTATAAAGTTTGATGAGACATGGTCATAAGATATTAAAATTTTTGGCAAGTGAAAGAATCGTCACCCATCAATCGTTTATTGATGAGAGGTCATTATAAGGTCATGCATTGAATGGGTAGGATCTGATAGTTGCAGTTGTCGAGCATGGATTTGAGATAAATCCTAGCAATGCCAGTGTTATTAATAAGTTTAAATAGGTCATTGGTTTTTGCAAACAATTGTTGGTCGAAAAGTTGATGCAAATAATATCTTAATGAAAAATGAATAGTTTCTTTGGGCATATATCTCGTTAATCGAAGAGATTTTTTGAAGAGATTACGAATGCCTTCATGATCAAGTCACAGAAGAAGTAGCTAAGGAAGGTCGTTTGAAGATCTTTGGTATAATAACGTTGTTAAAGACAGCTACAAATTGCTTGTTAATAAGTTTCTTTTATTTTAAGATGGATTTTGCTTTGCTAATTTCAGATTGTACTTGATTTTTAATAAAGGATGTATTATTTTGTAAAGAAATCCAAATTCCAAAGTATCTAGTGGATTCTCTAGATAACATAGGTTTTAGCCAAACCTCTTCTGATGATAGGTTAAATTTAACTGACTCAGGATTGTTGATGGAGGTGATTAATACAGATTTTTCCAATTTAATTTGATACCATTGAGTTCATAAAAGGATGAAGTGATACTCATTATTTCTTTAGGTCAATTCTTGAATTGGCTATCCAGATCGTATCATCTATATATATATATTCAGATAATAATATAGATGAATCTTGAATATTATTATCTCAGGTTACTTGTTGATAGTAATCAAATGGATATTACAAAAAAGCAGATCGTAATAAATACATCATAAAAGAGAAGAGAGAAACTCTCCTTGGTCATTAAGACTAAATAATGGTTAGTAGTGCTATATGCAGTAAAGACTTGATTGAATCGAGGTGAGAATATATTAGAAATAAATATAGATAATGCTGATGGGAGTTTAATTTATTGAGAGTGTTAAGAAACATGTTCAAGTTTACTTAATCGTAAGCTTTAGATATGTCTTGGAAAAGAAGCCAATGATCATTTTTATTGAACTTAACATCATAAATAATGTTGTCAAAAGTATGTATAGTATATGTTCTAAGATTTTGTTGACAGATATAATTTTTGATAATCAATAATTAACAAGTTTAATTAAGTCTTTATGAGAGTATAATCAGGTATGTATTGTTTAAATTATACTCTTATTGTTTGGATTTATATATTGGATAAACAAAAGCTTTATTCTATCAATTGGAAATTATGTTTAAGATAACAGCATGCTATTTTTTAAAATAGTTTATTTCGTTTAAGACTTTGAAGGTTTCGTTGCTTTGTTATTTAAAATAGAATCCATTTTAACTCTGTCAAAGAGCTTATAAGAGAATCAGAAATGGTTGAGTCAATGTAAGAAATAGGCTAATAACTATCTTTCCATAGGTCATCAATTTGATAATGTGAATAAATAGGTCTAACAACTTTTTGAAAATAGTAAGCTGTCTTCTTTTTAACTGTTTCTATCCGTAAGAAATTCTAAATTACTATTGGAATTATTCAGAAATCTATCAAGGTGAATAATAAGTAAATCTTGGTCTTTTTAAAAGTGAGTTGTATATAGCGGTCTGATTCTTTTCAAAATTATCTTAATGATTGTTGATGGCGTTGATAATGGATTTAGTTTTGAATAAATTTTCTTCTTGTTTTACTTTTATTATAAGGATATTGGTGAGATCACATATAGTATCTATCGATATTAAAATAGAGTTTAATGATGTGGTAATAGAGGTATCTAAAGCTATTTTGTATTTATTAGCAATAGGAAAGACTTTCAGATAAAGTGAAAGCTATTTGTTATTATAACAAGAGTTTTTAATAGAAAACTTTGAGATTTTAGTAATCTTTTGTAAAAGCTTAATATTTTTATATAAATCCTTCAGAAATTTTAGATGTAAATCTTTTTGATGATTAGAAGAGGATTTGTGTAGAATAATCTTTTTTGCAGTGTTTCACATAAAATTAAGTTATGTTTTATATTTAATTCAAGATCAATAGTTGGTGTGAGGATGATTTTAAAACTAAAGAGTTAACTTTGTTATTGAATTTAATTCAAAGGTCAGTAGATATACTATCATATAGGAAACTCAGCTTTTTGATAGCCATTGAGGAATTATATGATAGAGTAAAGATATAGTTACTAATTTTATGAAAACAATGTTATAGTCAGAAAAAATAGAATTAATAGAATGACATTGTGGTTGAAAAAATGGGTAATAAGATTGAAGAAAAAAAAAGAAGTGATTGATAATAAATAAGTGAGGTTCTTCATAATAGGTAATAAGGTCATTAGTATTATGATCTATAAAAAATTAATTAAGTTTAAATTATTTAATAATTTGAAGAAATAATTAGCATATTTAATATTCCTTTGTCTAGAAGGATCAGCGTTAATATCTTTAGTGAGAATAAGCTTAACAATCTTTTTATAAATTGATTTTTTAAGTGAGTCATTTGAACAGAATATAGGGATCTATATAGCAAAAGCTGAAGCTCAGTCAAAATCAAAAATTAAGATTTTTGATAATCACATAATTACCAGTTTACCTTTTTAAAATATGATTTTTTACTTATAAAATATTAATAAAAAAAATAATTTTCAAATAATTAAATTTTTATTAAAATTTTTTAAATCAATATGTTTACATATTTTAAAATATAAATAAAAATAAAGGTGTTAAAAGATAGTTAATATTTATAAATAATCATTGGAAAAAATTTATTTTAAGTTATTAAGGCCATTTTTATTTTTTCAAAATAATTGCTAGTTTGACTAGTTTGATCATATGATTTAAATTATAATTTCTTGAAATCACGTAATCAGCGGAATCTTAACTTTTGCTATATAGGTTTCTATATATAAATATAGGTATTGCTAAGAAGAAGCTTATGCTTATTTTTAAATTAAAAGTCAGCGAATTAAAATCTATTTTAAGTCAATTCATATTTAAAAATATAATCTATAAAGAATTTTTTGAAATAAGTTCTATTCCAAAACTTATTCATTATCTTTTATTATTTAGACTAAATAAAAGATATAAGTTAAAGAAATTGATCATGTAAAAATTCTTTAGTATATCGAAAATAAAATATTAGTTTCTTGTAATGAAATAATATTAAAATAATGAAATTGAAATAATGTTATCTTACGATACTAATGACTAAAAATTAGTATTAACGCAAGATTAACAAAGGATTTAGCTTTAAAACTTTTATGATACGATTTATGGAGAGCTTCTGAAGGTTTATCGATCAAATGTATTTTAGAAACAAAGTATAATTTCTGGG